ATTCATGCCTTATTACAGAATTTGCACGCGTAAATCCCGGAGAACGCTATCTTGTGTTTATAAGATCTTTGACATGAGCCTTCACCAGGACCACTGCTCAAACACCCCTATCTAGCTTGCAATATCAGCCCTCAAACTGAAGCATAAGAAATTGAATTGGTCACTGACCGAAAAAACGTATTGGTTCAGTGGATACTGAGTGTCTACTGCCAGTTAAATCAACTGACCTATGCTGCTCTTGAAATTATATAGTTTTGTAAAACTGGGACTGAGGTTCCTATACAAGCATTGTTACATAATTTGTATGCTTTTTAAAAACACAATTATTCACAGTAGATTTTCTGTTTACAGTACATATCTATTTTGTATACAGCATAATTTAAGTTTATTTATTTATTCATTATTTTATCAACGATTCCAAACAAGTCCAATCCCATTTTTGGGCGATATATTAATTCAAAATTAAACTTTATTTTTCTTATTACCTTATTAATTACAACCTCCTCCAACTGTTTTCTTGCATTTTGATGTACTGTACAGTATGTATTGCTTTTTTAATGATTTCTCAATATTCCATCAATTTTTTATGTCAATTTCTGTATTATTTTTGTTTTAAATTTTGTGCTGCTTTTTACATGTTACCTTTGTACATTCATATGCAATTCAGCCTTGTTGCTGCTATCTGCATTTTTAGAATATTGAAGAATGAATAAAATATAGCTCAAATAATTATTTTATTAGATTTAAATATATTTAGTTTTATTTCTAGGTAACAATACCACATACGCATGAGAATGGTGATACCCCAGAGAATTGCCACAAGTGCAGGGGTGGATCAAAACATTTTTTAAAAGGGGGAGGCCCCCACCAACAACATTTCCAAAATAGATAAGTGAGTAGCGCCCACTTCAATATATAACATTGATATGCATTGAAATTTAGTGGCAAAAATGGGGGTATATGCTCCCTGCTGGATCTGTGCCTGAAGTGTCAGGTTGTATCAGAGTGGCCCTACATAATGCTCAACAACATTATGCTATTTTACAGTACCTTTTTGTCTTGGATACAGGCTGGAATAACATGACCAAGCTTATCAATGCCGCTGTTAATCTTACACTTGCGGCGCTGTTCAACTTCATTATGAACGCGGCGTTTCCGTTCGGCCTCGTTTCCAGTATTTATGCTAGTTAAAATTAAAAAGGTTTGAAAACATATGATATTATTTCTTCTACAATATTTATGTTTGAAAAAAATTGGAATAAAATTAAGGAATAAATAATTTTTTATTATATTTTTTATACATAATTTCTTCTATTTATATTAGAAAAAATTGGAATAAAATTATTATTTTCTTATATGATATTATTTCTTTTACGATACTTATATTAGAAAAAATTGGAATGAAATTAAGGAATAAATGATTTTGTATTATTTTTTTAATACATTATTTCTTTTATTTATATTAGAAAAAATTGGAATAAAATTATTATTTTTATATGATATTATTTCTTCTACGATATTTATATTATAAAAAATTTGAATAAAATTAAGGAATAAATAATTTTGTATTATATTTTTTATACATTATTTCTTCTATTTATATTAGAAAAATTGGAATAAAATTATTTTTTATACGATATTATTTCTTCTATTTATATTATAATAAAAAATTGGAATAAAATTAAGAAATAAATAATTTTGTATTATATTTTTTATATAAAACTGAAGTCCTTAAATATGCATGTTTTATCACCACTTTTGAAAACATATTTGTTATTATAAAGATTTTTATAACACTCTTAAATAGCAATATTCTTTTTATTTGCTTTCAGTCAAAACAATGCCAAGACGGCAACTTTTGTTAAGGGATTACATGCTATTTTAGACTATTTGTAACTGTTAGCCATAAAATGGATGAACCAAGGCTGAATTTCAGTTTCCGAAACAATAAATAGAAAGTACAAGACCATTCGGCTGAAACATAGCTCTTCACACTGCACAAGAATGCAAAGTGTGTATCTATCATGGCTGGGCAAAGATGTTTAGCATGTGGTTCAAACTTCAGACCGCAATGTAAGAGCCAGAGTGCAAAAAACCAGCCCCATCTCACCCTTCGTGTACTATGCGGTTTTTCAGGCACAGGGTAGAGGTACACTCATAGAATGTCACTGCACTAGTTATTATTATTAAATTATTTCATACAGGATAAAATTTATAAATAATTTAAACTTCATAATCTGCATGCAACTTACTTTTCAATTGGTAATAGAAATTCCCCCTTCATCAGACTCTCAACTGTAAAATGAAAAAGTAACAACTTTATTAATTTATGTAGGATTGGGAGATGAAATCATATTAATGTGATGTGTGCACTGAACCATGAAGTCATGTGACATCTGTGCACATTTTGGCTTTCTACAACCATGGGTATGACAGCACATATTAAGTCCCATGCTCATGGATTAACCACCACACAAAATTTGCTCTCAAAGCTATGAAACTTTGGCATCTTATGAGCTTAAGTATCAGAGGCTGAATATAGGACTTAAAGAATATAATGTACTTTTTGTACTTTTATTATCTTGTTATTTTATATTAAATTAATATTTTATACTAAAGGCTAGTTTAATTCACCTTTAATAATTGTTTACCTTAATATAGGCTACTGTGTGTGTATTTGCTTTGTATATTTGGTTAAATTTCAATCAAACAATTGAAGATATATTTTCCTCAATAATTAAAGATTAAGAAATACCATTTCTATATTATTTAACATAGGTCATCAATCTGAATTTGTAACTCATCGAAGACTTAATATTTACAATTTGAATCTCATCTAAAGAAATTAATTCCAATGTTTTACTTTTGAAAGTAATACGGTAAGAAAATGTAATGTTAGTTTTTCACATTGTACATGACTAAAAAAAAAACAATACAAATTCACTAAACAGATAAACTTGTTCCATTTTAAATACTGGATATTAGAAATCAAATTGTGAAATTATTATTTTTTAAATAAGAATATACTCAAAATGAAGGTCTGCTACTCTAAGTCTAATGCTTTAAAATAGAAATGCCAGCAAGTGAAGCTACTACCAACATTCTTTTTTTTTTAAAATATTATTTGTCAACAATCAGGACTAGGCCTACGCCTATGTGGAAAATTATATTTCTATCAGAGCTAGCTAATAGTAGGCTTTATTCATGTTTCAACATATTTTCAATTGAAATTTAAGCTTATATATTTAAATAGCAAATATTGAAATAAAAATGTGATTTGATTTGAAACATCCTTTAGACCCCTGGCCAAGAGGCCTTAAATGTGATGAGATAACAAAGGTACAGCCTACAGTACTACATATAGTTATTCTGGTTCTAGGGTTAAAGAGTAGGCCTAGCCTGCTAAACTAACATGTCATTAAATGTATAAATAGGCCTTTATCCTAACTAACCTAGCCGCACCACCTAGCCTAGGCCTAGTGGTAAAGAAAGGTGGCCCTGATCCCTTAGAAGAACAGAACCATGTTGATTCCTCCAAAATGTAAAAACATGTTGAGAACAAAACATTGTTTGCTTTTTGTTTGAACTCAAAGCAGATGTTATGTTTACTATACTAGACTAGCATGAATTTATCATATACTGTGTATCATTATTCTCAGAACAAACATACTGTCACTTTCTTTGTCAGTTCAGTACGCCGATTTCGTTACCACTGAGATTTATGCATTTGGGCCTAGCAAGAATTCACCGCCCAGGGACAAAACAGCTTTGTTCGGGGCGTACATTGCTCAACCTAGCCTAGAAGTGAGGTTCTTGGCAACAACGCGGAATTGAGCCCAACCAATTGTTTAATAACTTACCGTTTTCAGCCTGTTCGGCTACTCTATTATCACATACTTCGTTTTCTTGATGATTTTCAATTTCAGTAGATTCCATCTTGTATAATAATCATTATCATACTTATATGGAAAAACAAATAATGTGGAACTGAAGACACTTGCTTATTAAATTGGTATGGTACATGATGAAGGGTTTGACGCCATTTTTCTCTGAGCATAACCAACCTTACATGACCTGTGATGAACAACAGAGGGCGCTATTTTTGTGCAATAAGTAAGAATTTGTTACCAATAAGGCGTCGCACTTACGTAGTTCTCCCCGGAAGTTAAAAAAGTTCAGAAAATGTGTAATAAGAGGAAAACTGTGACTCATTTTGTGGAGCCGCGCGATGATTCACTAGGGCCACCATGGATGATTCAACAATCAACGACAAACAGGAGATTCCCATCGAAATGTTCACACTCAACCCTTGCAACATTCCCCCTTTTCAACTTTGAATAGACTATATAGGCAGTACAATTTTTGTGACCGCATATAGCCTATATATAACAGAATTGTAGTTACTTTTATTTTTTTTAAATGTATTGTCCCCTGAAAACCATAAAAATAAAAAATAATTTTGAAATTAACTAGCTCATTAAATTTCCGGTAACATACAAATTATCATTAATTTAAGCATAAATTATTAAATTTAAAAAAAATGTGTACCCTGACTTTTATGAATAAAAACACTTTCAGTGATTGGAAATGTTTCTCAGTCATTTATCGCTGTAAAATTATTGGTAAACATTTTGTAAATACACCAATATATGTTCATGTTGATTTTTATGTTACTTCAAAATGAGCAAGTTAATTTCAAAACTGACCCGCCTATTTTTATGATTTCAAGTTTGTACTTTGGGGTTCTTCATATTTGCTCATGACATCTCTTTTCCAGCATTGTTCAGGGGCGGATCCAGAGGGGAGCGATCGAGAGACAACACTACCTTAGGGAGATTCAAATTTTGGTTTTCTGACGCTCGGAAATAACCTGATTTTTTCTTTCTTTTCATGTTTCTTTCTTCATTTTTATTTTCCAAAAGGGGAGGTGTCGGGGCCTAAATCCGCCACTGATTGTTTGAGCATCTGTGAATCTAGGCAGTGCTAGTGGTGAAACGATACAGCAGATTTTTTTCTTAATTTCTTTGATAATTCTTCTTGCACTTAGTGATTTGTGCCTTTGTTCGTATCTGCCAAAGCGTATGGATTTTACACCAGCATGAAGAACCGATATATTTGCCAACTTAAGATTGGGACTTAATACATCTCTGACCATATTAATAATATCGATAATAATACAAAATAATTTACTTTTACAGTCAAATCAACTAGTCAAAAAGTCATGCAGTGGTGCATACGATTTTGCCGCTTAAGTAGGCTTATACCGTCTGCAAAACAGTATCTATTGTTTCAGATACTGCTTATGCAATATCCATTTTCTATTATTAGACACTGTCATACAAAATTATTTTTTCAACAAAAAAATTCCCCTATGTGGTTTTGTTTTCAAGAGGAAATGACCGTAGTAATAAATACCCGTAGTATAATATTTGAAAAGTACAAAACTATGCTTATAATTAAGAAGAGGTTTTCCTCTATGGGCCGGACCGGACCTCCTAATGTCAATCAAACTTGACTTGACGAGAGATACACGCATCATATACAAACACACGCGTACGTCCCAGCTCACGTCAAACGCACATGTTTGTAGGTACATTAATTTATTAATGCATATCTAAATAATATTTTAGATTTTATAGGCGTATATTTTTATGATCATATTATAAACTTGGATTTTTTGCAGTGTTTTACTGTTTCCTAAGTGTTTTTAAACCTGTATAAATAAATAAAATAAAACATTAGGGTTGGGGGCTTAGCGGAAAGGTTCATTCACCCACTGGACACCATACCAAGACTGAAAATGATGTCATATTAACAGTGCACCCTCCAATTCGAGATGCCTCTAATTCCGAGAACTAATTAACAATTGTTTAAAGCTGGTTTTCCACTAGGCGGATTTATTCGCGAGAATCGAAAGCATCGGTTTATACGCATGCGCATTCACATTTCTATCGAGTTTTGCGAAGCGAAAAAATGCGCAACCAATCAGAGCTCAGAAATCGTACCCAAGATTTGATTCGCGCGAATAAATTCGCCTAGTGGAAAACAGGTTTAACCCGTGTCTCACCCTGTTGGAGACCGATGACAGAACCCCTTGACTTCCCTAAATTTTCAGGACCAAGGTGGTCTTGAACTGGAGGGCGAGCTGTATTCAGGTTCATTTATAAAACATTTTTTCAAAACAGTACTAACTGCAATAGTATTTCTTTTTACTAAATGAAGAGTCATGTGAAACAAATTTCCTCATATACAAATCAATACATTTTATTCAGAGTAGTGCAACAAAGCATGGAAGTGGGAGTCGAACACGATAATACAGTGGCATTTCTAAGGGGGTATGCGGGGGCGCACGCCCCTCCAAAAATTAGTCGCGCCCCCTGTCGCCACCCAAAAATCATGGTCACTTAGTTAAAAATCAATTAAAATCACCTTATTTTGCGAATTAGCACCCCTCAACTGATCGGAGGGCCCCCACTTTACCATCGCGCTCCCCCATCAGCACCCCCATTTCAAGACTTTTAGATATGCCACTGCGATAGTCCAATGTTTCAGTGCAGTCAACAGCAACATCCCACTCAATTACAAGATGGGTGAGTGAAGCAATAGCTTCATGGTAAAAGCTGTGTCCATTATCAAATTCTGTTGGACAAAAAACTGTTGTATGCCCATATATAGTCATGAAGTGTCTATATATGGTCATGATGTGATGTCAGCATGACCATATTTGGGCATGTCACATGTTTTTGTCAAATACCATTTGATAGTCTAAACAGGGCTTAAGACATTTGCTTTCCAGTCCCAGGATCTCAGGTTCATATCCACTTAAAAGCCAGGATTTCCTCACAACTAAAATAGTTCCACTCTCTAAGTCTTTTATGACAATTAAGCTCTGCCCAGATTATCAAAAAAAACCTGTTGTATGCCCATACATAGTCATGATATGCCTATATATGGTAATGATGTGATGTCATCATGACCATACTTAGGTATGTCACATGTTTTTGTCAAATTGCCAAATACCATTTGATAGTCTGTACAGAGGTCAAGTATATAAAGAATACTTGGTTCTGTAGGAGAGCAGTAGTCTGCTTCTGAACAGGTACTCAATTTTTTAAATCATTTTAAAAATATTAAAAATATTAAATGATGAAATAGGTTGATACATGAATAAAGATGAGGTCTTTCAGTAAAGAGATTACATGTAATATGCTGTTTAATTCATAAACCCCCCCCCCCCATTCTTGTAAAGTGCTCTCTATCTCATCTTTCAGCTGTATTATATTCTCTACAAAAGGTAGCACAAACAGTTTATATGGGCTCACCATTAAATCATTACATAAATGAGATTTCATTTACCCACTAATCAGCTGTTGAATATTTTATCCCCCTTCCCCACCCCTACAAACACTTGCCTAGCCATTACGTTGACATTCTGTACCGCCATAATGTAAGTTAGCTAACATTCATACATTGCTTCGTACACCAGTATTCAAACTTTACTTAAAATATTCCTTCAACAATGACAAATTCACATGTACAAAAATGTAATCCTAGTAAAAACATTCAACCCACCCAATTAATTTGGTCATTATATGTGTTGTTTATACCATATTTACTCATGTACAACATCTTTTTTTATACATATTATCTACAAGCTTTAAATACTGAATAAAATTTGGGTTTGGTTCTGGCTGTTGAATATACTGTTCTATCCCCCTTTGTCTGGGCCTAACAGTCTTCAACAAATGTATTCTCTTGGAATGGAAATGTCTAAACAGTATTACGTACACATAAGCACAAGAATAATTTCCAACAAGATAATCAGTAAAGTACAAAAGTTACAAGCTGCAAGGCGCTTATGTAATTCTCTATGTATAGTTTTAAGAACATCAATGTCTGTACGCCTAGCAGAGGACAGTTAATAAAAGCATAGCATGTTTTCAATAAAAACAATATATTCCGGGATGTATCAAGATTAGAGATAGCAAAACGGTTAATACAGGATTTGCGAACTAGATCTTGTCTCCCACTGGCGGCGTCCATTTCAGCGCCATGGGTTCGATGACCTTTGTCGGGTCTGTCCTCTTGGACTCCTTAGACAGGTACTCTTCAAACAAATCTTGACGTTTTAACACTAGATGGCGCCCTTTCCAATACTTAAGCATGCTTAGTGCTTGTAACGTGCTGACTATATCGTACGGGTTAATTGCGGTCTCCTGGCTGATGTCTGGAAATGCACATAAAAATCATAATTTTAAAGAAGCGTATATTCAACAGTGATTTTAAATTACAATAGAGAAAAAAATATAATATCCCATTTCTTTTTTACATGAAATAGCAACTTCGTTTGCTAGAATATTTTCCAAAAATTGTTTCTCATGCAAGTCAATGCATTTATTAAACACTAAATTTAAATAATGTGAGCACATTCAGTGAATGTACATTAAAAATGTTGTATAGTATTGCAAAAGTTTAACATTTTTGTTTTACTAGCTTAATCTTAGTGACAAGGTTCGAAGAACCATATACTATACCATGATGTATCTATTGAACATTAATGCTGGACCTACCTTTTATTGAAACTTCCTTTCCTTTGAAATTGTGTAAATATTTGAGTACAGCACTCTTCCAGTAGGAACGGTAACTGAGTAAACCAAGATCCGATAATGGTTTCTCTGGAGATCCTATCTTATCTTCTACTTTAGATAATAAATAACCTACAAAAGAAAATATATACATAATTAATCAATGTCACACGATCTTACATATGTGGCAATATCAAGACACATCTGTTCTCAGTTGGCTATGGGGATACGTAATAGAATAACATTAAATATTCAAATTGTACCTTGTCTAACTTTCAAATGAAAAAATGGATGGGAATTTTAATATAATTCCTATCTTATATTTGTTTAATTAGCTACTGACTATGTGTAGATAATACTGAATTTCAAATACACCAAGGAGAAGCCATGAAAGTCTAGACGTATTTCCAGAGGCTTTTGGTTATAAGTTTGGCATTAAATCAATAGAAAACACCCCATTTTTCGACAAAAACTGCGTTCTTTAACATCAACATGAGCCATATTGAACAGGGGATGCTTAAACGTCTCATCAGAGAGATTGGTATGATATTGTAACTTTCAGCCCTCCAATTAAAAAACACAGGGAAAGCAGTGTATGGAATTGAACCAGTGAATGAAAATCTGAAATTCACCATATTTCAGCATACACACAGTGGCTGCCACCAATTTAGCTGACTGAGCTGCTTAGCTATGTCCACACATGTTGGGAAGTTTAAGATGCATGGTAATTACTATTTTCTTTTAGTCCTGAACATATATGAATATATATACAGTAATTAATTTCACATCAAACAATAAATAAAACGAAACTTACTGAAATCAATGAGCATTTTTCCAAATCCCTGACGCATGTAGTGTGGTAGAGTTAATATACACGACACATTGTAATTTAAAAATGAATTCTTCTCCTAAAAGTCAAAAATGAAAAAGCATTGTTTTTATGACTCAACTAAAAATACTACTAAAATAAACATCATGTAACACAAATAAAAGTAAACTACTATTGATATTAAACACCAGAAATTTGACTTCAATATTCAATAAGTATCTTAAACAGAATTAAATATAATGTTGAATATTTTAATATTTAACATACCTTGGAGAAGTAGCCTATAATATGGCAGCCGGTTGAGTCTGCTTCCGTCATTACATAGAACAAGAAAGGTTCCACATCAAAATATAATGTCTTGTGGTCTAGGAATAGTTTAGCAAGTAGACATAGGTTCTGGCAGTATATCTATATCATATAAAATACCATAGTCAGCAAGAAATGAAATCCAGCAAGTCTATTGGTTGGTAACTATTTTTTTTTTCATTGTAAGTTAGTAACTTAACAGATACAATTATCAAAAGAGCAATTTACTTTTTTTATTTCGTTTATTAAGGTTTTCAGAGTAGATCTTTATGGAGTGTTCCCATTTAATTAATTAAATTAAAAACACACAAATATGTTATTGTTTGGCGAGTCGAGTGACCGAGCGGTAAGGCAGGGGTAACACTAACTACAGCCTTAACATAGGCGCTGGTTCCAGCTGCTCCTCCCCCAGGATCTGGTTGGTAGAACCAAGAGTTCTCAGATAAGGACTTAAATTGCAGGACCAGTGTACACACCTGGCTCGTGTGCACTTTAAGAACACATTGCATCTTTCATAAGAGTAGAGGTCTACCCCGATGCTATGGTTCATTTCAGCCCCTGTTGTCGTACAATGATGTGAACATGTAGCTACTACAAGCGCCTATGCTACAAAGTACAGGGCTAGGTAGGCCAAGCCTTGCCATGGGAGCAAAATTTTGTCACGAAAAATGACTTGGATTATACTGTTTTCTGCAACAAAAGTATACTTTACAGAAGCCAAAATTACCTGTGCTCACTGTGAAGTATTGATTTGACGTGATTTCCAAATGAAAAGATGACCAAATAATGGCCAAAACGAGTGTTAATATTATTCTTTTTATAAAAATGTTACTGTACAAGAAATTTAAGAGTATTTATCAATGCTTTAAGCTCTTACCTTACTCTTCTTACCATCAACTTCAAACACAGAAATATTACCTTTGCGGTAAATTTCATCTCCCGGTGGGTGACGCCAAAGACACTTTGCCATGTGGCGTCGTAGAATGGTGGCGCTCTTCATGTATTTCAGACAGAACTCACAGATGAACAGTTTCATGAGGCGGGCATACTCTTCGGGGTAAGGGCTTGTATACCAGGTATTCAGTTCAAAGCGTCCAAACTCAATTTTATTAATGCTACCCTCAAAATTCTGACCCTGATTCTCTTGCTCCTTGAGGAAAGGAAAGATAATTTATGCATTCTACTACGAAATGATGTCAACACGTGGATAGTTAGTTAGTATTAAGAAAGTTTTAAAAAGTATACCACATAAAATACAATCTTTTTTTTTTCACAAGCAAATGTACTGAGCATTTAGTACTATAACAAGTCAGATATAGCAAACATTGATATTTTTCTCCTGACGCAAAACGCCATTAAAATAAGGTTAATTCATGAATTAAATAGGCCTTCATTGTAAACTGAAACTATTATGTATTTTAATAATCACATATAGGCTTTCTTAATTGTTTAATGTATATTTTTATCCTCTAGGCTGTTTTGACATTTATACTCTTTGGACAGGGGGTATACAGGATACCCACATCTGGTGTTGGGTTCTTAGCCCATGGTGTCCTATTGCCACCCCTCTGGCCATTTTATTATCTGTTTATGTGTGCCAAATATATACATATAATAAATAATTAAAGCTGAATCATTAATATTCCATACTAAAGAAATATTATTGTGAAGATCATAGAAGCTGTTGTGTTAAGGTTTGTCCACACTAATTTAGGTTTATGTGAGAAATACCTGTAATCTGGCTATATATGGGCATGATATGACATCATCATGCCATATAAGGGCAATTCCCACCTATTTTTTTTGCAAAATAATCAATAGTGTGTATAGAGCACAAAGCATTTGCATTGTATTATTAATACTTACCATTTCTTCAGACACTTTCATCTGCGCTTCGCGGAACAAATTCAGATCATACTGTGATGTCAGATTATCAAGCAACGGCTCCCGCGATAAATGGTACTCTTCACGATGACCACGATTACGCTCTTTGTGAACAGAACCAAACTCCTTCTTCTGTCTCCTCAACTCTTGCACAAGCTTTCGTTGCTGCTGCTGCTTTGTTATATTCTACGAAATCAAAGGATTTTGTATTATTTTGTATTCAATTGAAATATAATAATTTGATGAAGTACTGTACATTCTTGCTGAGCCATTAGGCGTTCATTAGGCTGGTGCTTAGCCCCAGTTGTAGAATGAAGCAGATGAATGTGTGATACTACGTCTGGGTGTGGTGCCAGTCAATGGCAGGTTACTCCCAGCAATTTGCTCATAGCCAATGATAAAAGTGGAAGACTGAAGTACAGGTAGAGAGCAAAATGCACAGCAAGAGATTGAATCCCTAAACTCAAGGTTGGGAACTACACAAATGATGACGATTGTTGGTAACTCATATGATCTTATAAAATGAGTAATTTAATTATTTATTTGAAGTATTTTTTTTATTTTCTGACAGACAGAATATTTTCACTACTGTAGTAAATAAACGTGTAACATGGCTTGATTCGTTCTATTTGCATATTCTATATTCTTGGTCAGTACAGGAAGACCAAGCACCTTCAGGTACAGTGCTCTCTAACTATTATAAGGCCAACTTACGGGAGTTCTGAGTGCTTTTCTCGCAGCTTCTTCTTCCTTCCTGGCCTCTTCTCGTAATCTCTCTTTCTCCAATCTAGCTGCCATTTTCTGTCGGCATTCCACCGCAGTAAGGTTGTGATACATAGGGCATCCAGAGATTGTGAAATGTCTGTCATATTTACCACTGAAATGACCTAATAATCAGGATAAAAAAAAGGCTGCTTATTTTTCATATTAAGGTGAAGGAGGGTTCTAAATTGCTATGTAAAAACTACATTAAAGTTCACATTAAGTTCCTGTATCTAATGTGTATTGACCATATAACCGAAGTCCCAAGCCCCATAAACACTGGTTCTGGACAAGGATAGCCTGATCTTCTGTGGCCAAAAGAAAGCCATGGGTCGTAGCCAACTTGCATTTAAGGCTGGCACATAGCATTGCAGCCCACCAACAATGCAAGCTGAGGTTTCTAAGCCTGGCCAGAAGTGGACAGAATGAGGCTCAAACTCTTAACCACAAGGTAGAAAACATGAGTAGTAGTAGTAAATACAATATGAAATAAGGAGGTTGGTCAAACCTTGTGAATCACAGCCAGCCAGAGGACACTTGAGCTCAACCGTGTCAGATTTAAACCGTTTCTGTGATAAGCACATGCTCTCCTCAGCATCCTCCTTCGCTTTTCGCTTCTTGACCATTTTCATAATTGGCGTGTGAGGAGCTACAGCAGCGGGCTCAGCGTCAGACTGATTGTCCGTGGGCTGGACAAGTTTACGCCGTCCTCGGGTGCTAAGGGCAATACCCGAAGTGTTTGACTCGCAGTCGGAACCAATGTCTTTTTCTGCTTTTATACTGGCCCTTGATTTGCGTGTAGTTTTTGGTTCTTGGGTGATGGTCTCAGTTGACTCAAGATCAGATGAATCAGAAGAAAGCTTGCGTGTGGATGATCGTAGAGATTTCGCCGGAGATCTTTGACGTAATCTTGTAGAATATCCTGAAAAATGATATACTTTAAACAATCATGTTAAGTGATGAAATTATATATTAAACTTATTTTTCCTATTATTGTAATAAATTACTATTATATAAGAGCAGAAAACACTAGGTGTTCAAAAATTAGTACAGTAGTGGGAACTAGTTGCCCAGAAGACGCAAAAGCTGAAATCAAGGTCAACAAATAGGTTCCCTTGTGAAAGTGGGCTGGTTAATAGACGGTTAAGTTCCTCAAATATTTCAGTTCTCAATTTTTTTTATTATCTATGTAATAATGAATCTTTGAGATAAGTAAAGATCCATAAATTTTTTAAACACATAAGTCTTAATCCACATTAATCTTTGATATGATTACCTTCATCTTTCACTCCTTTCTGTCCTCCCTTTCGCTGTGATCTTTGACGGACCTCCTCATCTGAACTGGAGACTTCTTCTACATCCACAGATGTGTCAGACTCAGCTTCCGATGTGAAGTCTGAATTTGATCCATTAACTTGTTTTCTCTTTTGGAGTTGAAGCAAAAATAAGTTTTACTGGTCTCTGTCATCCAGATCGGAAGGAAGCAAGTAGGCCTATTATAAGCGTTGGTGGTGTTGGGGAACTGTTGTTGATGTGTATTGTGAGGAGAGCCATGTGGCAGTGTCTTATTTTTCTTAGATTAATCTAATTGCTACACATCATGATCATTTTCAAAATATATACTTCCTCCTACTCCCTTCTTAGACCAAGCCAACATTTGTAGGGAGGCCAAGATAAGTATGGAGGCTATGAAAATAGGAATTAATAAACATTAAAATGCTACCGCCCCAACAACACCACCAACCCCCCAACAACACCACTAACAAACACCCCTTCCTCTAAGTCTTATTTCCTCCTCCAATCAATCCCATTGAATTTAATTTTTAAAAATAAAGACATTGGAAATAAAGACTTCTATTTAACGAAAAGCCTGTGTGGTAAGCCCTACCGCACGTCCTCCATGCAAGGCGTAAAGAGTAAAGGCTATGCTATACGTCTGTCACCGGCCATCGGTCAACACTATGGTGGTCGGCGGAGTGGCTAGCCTAGCTTGTTTTGAACAAATTTGAGTTCCGATGGCGCTCAAATCAAAATAAACCAGACTAAAGCCTAGGTGGTGATGCCTTTAAATCAGCTAAATTAAATCGTATAGCGGTTGACAACAACATCTAATAAGTTAAGGATTCTATTAAGCATGTAAATTAATTTTAAAAAATCCAATAAATACCTTCTTTCTTGTCATTTTAGTAGACAATATCAAAAACAATTCCAAACGATTCGATATCTCTCTCGAAACCCTGTGACCCTTGGCCTCCTCTTCGAATTTTCCGAAGGACACCGGAAGCGTACGCCAGATCGATAGAGGTCGCACTTTATTTAATGTTTTAGAAAATATAAAACCAAATATTCACCAAACTTTTAATAATAATGGAATCCCAGTAATGTCTAAATTCAATATACAGTAACAAAAACGTAAAATACATCCAACATCATTTGTAATGCGATGGTTTTTCGGATGTGGGTCAGCTGCATTTTGGGATTGTTTTCAACATGTCTGCGCTCTGTAGCGGCAGTATTAAATCTCTGTCTCGAAGAAAAAATATCGTTTGGCCCTTTTGTAAATACATTTACAACATGAATCACCAAGCCAGTGGTGGTGTTGAATTTCTTCGTAGAGGAAATAACAATTGTTTGGCGTATCGATGGACTAAGCGTAGCGCCCCAAGACCCAGAGTCAGTGATTGCGAAGCTGACCAACGACAGGACGATCACCACGGAGAAGTTAGGCCTAGCGATGTGGGCCATTTTAATGCGAATGGAATTATGTTTCTCCCAGGTTTCTTGTCTAATATGAATGGTGGAAAAGCCCTGGCCCTTGAGCAGTTCTGTAAACAATCAAATTATGAATTTACAAGGTGAAAAATTAAGTTTTATATAGCATGCTAGAAAAACCCTTATTCGAGTAGGTTAGGACAGGAGTGCGCCCTCACCAATTTTTACTAGAGGGTGAATAGACGGGAGGATCGAGCGGATTGAGCGGATTGAATTGTTTGCGTGTAAATATAAAATATTTAGTCCCAATAAAAGCATAATAGGTAGTTCCTCCAACAAGTATTATTTGTAAGTAACAGCTAAATATAAAAATAGGCCTACCTAGCTTATTATAGAACTTATATCGTTCAAACTCTACAATTAGTGTATGTTACTTGGTCATGTTGTTATGATTGATACAATAAAGTGAATAGAAATACAGTAGAAAAAAAATTGAATCGTGTATGTATCTGTTTACAGTAATTGTGATTACATACCAAATATTAAACTATTTACTTAATGTTGCTGGTTATAGATTTGATTACCAAGGATGTGGAGAATCAAAAGGCGAGATTAATATGAACGGTACTGTCTTCGATGTCTGGAAAGATGATGCCCTAGCTGTTCTGGATAACCTTACCACCGGTCCACAAGTAATGCTATTTTGTGTTCGTTTATGAGTGGATTTGATAGCTGTTTTACTCCCTAATGATATCAGATATTAAAGGGAATTATCTCAATCGTCTCAATTTATTCCCACCTTAAATATGATATGTACTCTGGTCTAGTAAGGTAGAAAATAAAAAATAAAAAGAAAATAATTGATAGCCCAAAACGCCTCAGAGGTTATTTTCCGGCGTCTAGAAAACAAAAAAAAATCGCGGGCATTCCCCCGGACTTCCAAAGGAGTGTTGTTTTGATCGGCCCCATTCCCCACCCTGCCATTCCTCCACGACATCGATTGGGTCACCGTTTACGTTCAGATGTGGTTTTGCATGCATCCAAATTCTTTTAAATAAGGCCCCATCAAAAAAAAAAATTAGTTTATCACCCTACCAAAGAATAAAAACTGATGAGGGAGGGTGGTTTTTTTTTTTAACCCCACCCCCATTTTACCGATGTTCACAAGTAAATCAATGATTAGGGACACATATATAAAAATTCATAAGAGTGGAATCAAATTTATATTTAAAAAAGATGTTTTTGTTGTACCAGTAAACATATTTGCAAGAAACCATGACCTTTTCAAGTGAAAAAAAGATGGAAAAAGGACCGTTTAAAATAAAAATATATGTTGATTGAAAAAAAAAAAAAATCAGCTTTTCCCCAAAAGTGATGAGGGAGCGGGGGATAAACTAATAATTTTTTTTATGTGCCTAACTTTACTCTTTCATTCGAAGTACTGTACTGAATTTTCATCTATTGCTATCCTACAGGTGTTGGTTGGATCGAGTATGGGCGGTGCAATAATGTTGTTATTGGCTCTTGAAAGACCGGAACGTGTGCATAGTCTTGTTGGCATAGCAACACCCAATTATGACAAGCCATTTGAGATACAAAGTACAAGTCAGGTAAGCTGAAGCAAGTTTGTTTTATTGTCAATCAAAACGTTAACGCTCTGATCTTGGTGGTTGTTCCATTGTAATAGTTCTTTGAGAAATACAAATATCTCCATCTCAGGATTCCAGAATATGAAGCAATAATTAATAATTTATTGAGG